TCTTAACCATCGCGCCACTCGGCCGGCCCCTGTACTTGATTCTTATCCAAGCTTCTGTAGGCACCAACTGAGACCTGGTTCAGGTGTAGCGTTTGATCCTGAACTAAGGAGAGAAGGCAAGGGGAACAAACGGGAGATGAGCTCTTGCTCAGTCAGCATGACTTACGCTTAACTCAATAAATACTCCACATAGCACTCTGCATTCAACATTCTCATATTCTCTCCCCACTGCTAACAAAATATCTTTTCATTAAATTACCTGGTAAACTATTCTAAATGGAGGTGGCAATGAATGACTTAACAAACAAATATTGAGCATTGGTACAATGATCTATTACCACAAAGAATACTGTGTAACATATTATCTTGAAGAACAGTGACTTAAATTAGCAAGCCATTTATTATTACTCACCAGTAATATGGGTCATCTAGGTGGTTGGCATATATGGGCCAGTCTTGACTTATCTTGGCTGGACTCACTCATTTGTCTGTGGTCAACCAGTAATCAGCTAGGAGGCTCTGGTTTTAGGTGTTGGCTGACTATCGATTATGAGGCAAATGGGCCATGTGTCTCTCATCCTCTCACCTTGAGCTTGTCTCATGGCAGCTAGACAGGGTTGAGAGAGAGAGAGAGAGAGAGAGAGAGAGAGAGAGAGAGAGAGAGAGAGAGGGAGAGAGAGTGAAAGTATGCAGACCTCTTAAGTTCTAACTCAAAACTAGTACTCAAAACTTATCAATTCTACCTCATTCTGTTAGTTAAAGCAGCCATGAGGGCAGCCCAAGAAACAGACCCCATCTATTGGAAGGACCTGTCAAATTTTATCGCATATAGTGGAGAATGAAGATGTGTGGCCACTTTTCTTCATCTACCACAAGCATCTTATGCATATACCACAAGCATCTACTATGTGCATGTACTAGGCTTGGCTGAGGATGACTGGTTAGTTTCATAGGAGATAAGTAGGCTTAAGACAAAGACCTGCAACTATAAAATTTTATCTGGATTTGGGGTCAAGGGGAATTTTCAGTGGTCCTCGTATCTCATCACCATAAACATGGACACAATGGGATGGTCGGTATACACAGAAGACATTCTATAAGAAAGGCCCAGGGCCGGCCGAGTGGCGCGATGGTTAAGAACTGGCTTGGGACGCCAGAGGGCCCCGGTTCGGATCCCACATATGAGGGCCAGTGACACTGCNTTTGTGATAACTCTAGAATGACAACTATTAGAAAAGGCACACAGTGTGACTGCTAACACTGATTGACTGTTCACTATGTCCTTGGCACAGAACTAAATTGGTCATCTGTGTGGTCTTTAGCCTTTATAAAAGCTTATCAAGTAGCTTATGACCCTGACACAATTAGATATGCTAGCATGGGTTGACCCCGTGCGAATTGGTTCAAAACTCCCCATTCCACTGAAGAATCCTTTAATAATTCTTAAATAATGATGCAATGGGTTGGAGGGGAAGGAACAAAAGGGAAGGGGATTTTGACCTAAGATATTCCCTAGTTCTTACGGTTCATATGCACTCATTCTTGCTTGTTTTAACAGATTAACAGAAACCAATTTATCAGGTCACAATTTTGGAATCAAAACTATAGAAAAGATCCAAGAAGATGTCTTTAATCTTTACAATTCCCCACAAAAATTTCTCACACTGAGAGAAAAACTAGTACTTTCATAGTACTTATTAAACTACTAACAGCCATAATGTTATTTTCTTCATCTAAGGAAACCTGGGTGTCCCACTGTTGCTGATAAACAGTCATGAAATGCACACAAGTTATTTTTTTAAGGAAAATGTTCACTTAGTAGTTCTGCATACCTGCCATTTACAAACTGTATAAGTTTGTGCTAGGCCTTTAACTTCTCTGCATCCTGTCTCTTTTAAAAACATTTCTTTAAATTAATGTATCATTCACATAACCATCCTCTTTCTCATAAAATAAAAATAATCTATTGTTGTAGATTGCCCTGTACCAGTAGCTCTTACTGAGTGGGGAAGGCTCACTTACCCCTTTCCCAGTTCTTGTCCAGGACCTTTATTATCTGAAATCACCCTGAAGCTCTTCTTCCTCTTTATTTCTGCCCCACTGCACCCCAAACAAGGACAGTCACTGGTACATATTAAGGGTTAAATGGTAAGGGTTAAATGTGTACATATTGAATAAATTAATGAACGTATCTCCATAAACTCTTCCATGATCATTCTGGTAGGAATGCTCCCTAAGAGCCTCTGAAATCCTCCAGCCCTCCTTGAGTGGGTGATGCAGCTACTGTATTTGGGACACCCTCCTGGGCATTACTGGTATTTGTTAACAGGAAGCAGAGAGGGATAGCAGAGAGATCACTGGGCCAGGGGTCCACTTCTGCTGGCTTAGTTGTCCCCTGACTCTGTGAGTTTGGGCAAATCCCATTTGCCTTCCTTGGCCTCCACTGTGCCATTGTGTATAAGAAGAATGAATTAAACTAAATGATCTCAAACATCCTCTCCTGCCCTCTTGATCTGAGATTTTAAAAAATCCTTCCAAAGAAGATCATCAGCTCCTGGTTGTGTGGGATCATTTCTAATGGGTGTCCGCGTCCCTCGTAGGCAGCAGAGCCCAGCTTTAGATGCTCCTTCAATACTGAACAAATGTAGAAATTTTCAGAAATGGAGGTTTTGCAGTATGTCCATTAATGACAGTATTGATATTTCCAAAGCATGTCTACGAGCATGAGTTTATTCCCACTCAAAGAAACTCAGTAAGATGGGTGGGACAGATATTGTTATGGGTCAGAAACTAAGCTCAGAGAAGTTAGAGACGTGCCTAACATCATCCAACGACAGGGACATTGGCTCCCTAAAAAGCTGTTACTGGTTCCAGCGGTGGTGTTCTCCCCACCGTCTTCTACTACCTCTCACTAAGCCAAGTAGGAAAGGTAGTAGATTTAGGGAAATTAACTGTGGCTTTTGCAAATGCTCTAGTGAAATCTGGTTCCTATTTTGGGTAAAGTTCCTTACTCTCAGCAATGTACAGGTATAAATGAAATTTAAGGGCTATTCATTTCTTCAAGACCCATGAAAAGAGCACTATTTGTAGTATATTTTTAAAACACATTCTTTATATAGATAGCCACTCACAAAGGAGAAATTTTGATTTTCCTAAATATTGACTATTGACAGTAATCTTTGTTTTACTTATGCTATCTTATTTCATCCTTTCAAAATCTTGCTAAACACAGATGATTATTATTTTAGAGAAAAGGAAGCTTAAGCTCAGATAAGCCATTGGCTTAAAGTCACAGGGCTGGAAAGAGCTAAAGCTGACATTCAGACCCAGGTCTGCCAGGGGTTCTTCCTGTCCATTGTGCTGATGATGTGTGGACCTAGAGCAGGGGTCAGCAGACTTTTGAGACAGAAGAGCTGCCAGAGGTCAGCAGACTGCAGCTCAAGAACTGTGTGGCTCTGAAGTAAAATTGAAAAGGAAAATAAAACTATCATAGTTTCATTTATAAAATTTTTACAGGATATTATTCACATAATGATGATTATGTAAAAATATATTTATGGCTCTTGAATAATTTTTAAATTGTTGTGAGGGACAGGATTGGCTCTTCAGGGGTAGGCAAGTTTTTCAGACAGAACGTACCCAAAGAGCTGCATGTGGCTCATGAGCCAGTTTGCCGACCCCTGACCTAGCATGATACCTGATATGCTTTTCAAAGAATTAAGACTCCTAGACTCCACCCCTGAATCAGAATATCTGGGAGGTGGGGTAACTGTTTTTAATAATCCATCTCCCCCAGGTGATTCTAATACATCTTAAACTTTGAGAATCAGAAGCACTTATACTATAACATACTCTAAGTAAATGTAGAAAGTCTTAAATAGTCATGATTAACCCACACACAAAAATGCATGAAACCATCAAGCAAATCTCAAATTTTCCATGGATCAAATGCTAGGCATTTCCTTGACAACCAGGGTCTTGAACTCACCATTGTGGGTGAAAACTAAAAATCATTCAATGGAATTAAAGTGGACTCTTTTGCAGGCTTACCACAACCATAGAAGAAGAGTATTTTAACCTTTCTTTGCTCAAACCACAGATGGACGCCTGCTTTTTAACCAGGTGCCCCTGGTTGAAATGGATGGAATGAGGCTGACACAGACTAAAGCCATCCTCAGCTACCTTGCTGCCAAGTACAACTTGTATGGGAGGGACCTGAATGAAACTGCCAGGNGTGCATGTGTGTGCATGTGTGTAGCATTTTTGAGTCCTTATTATGTTCAACAATTTGCACACATTACTTATTTCCACCTCATAACTAACTGAATTAATTAGGAACTATTAGCCTTGGACAAATAAGGAAACCGAGGCTCAGAGAGGTTAAAAAACTTGCTCCCGTAAGAGGTAGAGCTGACATTTGAATGTAGGTCTTTGCTTATACTGGAACCCATGGACTAACTCAGATACATGATCTTCACATGTTCTAAAAGAATTGGGACATATTTGTTACCCAAGGAGCATATTCCAACTATCCAAAGTTGTCATACCATCATGGCTGCTTTCTGCTCATCCTGCCGTAGGTGTGGGTATCTGGGGCTCTGGGGGTGGGAGTGCACCCCACCAGTCATCTCAGATGAAGCTGCACAGAGGTGATGTTTGTGAGCCCTGGGAAGTGAGTCTCAATTCCCAATGTTGTAAGAACCCTGCGGGGGCCCTTCTTGTTATCCCAGGTTTGTTGAGTTCAGGACACACACCTGTTAGTCAATATCAGCACCACAAGAAACAGAGTTGAAAAGAGGGTGTGAATTTATACTGGCTCGATTCCTTGGGTTCCGGGTCTTCCAGCAGCTTTTTCTCAGGGTATTTGCATTTTGGGTGAAATCCAGAAAACACTGCTCCTTTGTTTTCTGCCCCTTCATTTCCCAGGGATGCAATGGATATTTCCACTGCACCTGTTCTTTTCAGCTTTGAGAATGTACTTTTAACAATGAGAATAATTGGGTTTACTATTTGAAGCATAAGTAAACTCTGTCTTCTGTATTACCAAGCGGTAGTTTTATCCTAATCTTTATTGAAATACATTAGCAGTCAAGGAAACGGGACTAAAGAACTTGGTTTACGCCCTTAACCTATAATGCCATTACCAGGAAGGAGTTGGGCTCAGAGAAACAAACGTATTTCAATATACCCATTCTGTAAGGCTCTGCTTAATTCCTGTAATAATAGACTGTACTCTTGTTAAACACTGATTTCATTCTGATTTACCCCTTGGTAGTCTGGATGTTTCCATCACAAGATACAAGGTTTGTAAGTTTTTTGATGTCAGGAACCACATCTTATTTTTCTTGGTATGCCTGGAGGGCCTAACCTACTATGGTGTCCATGGTAGGAGCTCAGTACATGTTTGATGTTGAAAGAAAGAAGGAAAGATTGGACACAGAAATTTAACAAGTTAAACTGGTACGTATCTCAAAGTGGCACACGGGGTGATAGCCGCCAGGAGTCTGGGATAACACTGGGTTCATTCTGTAGGAGATGGAAGTATTACGCCATAACCCCTGCCTTCCAGGATTTTTCCTCCTTGTTAGATTTGTGCAGTGAAGAATCCACGGGTGCAGGCTGGTTCTCGGGCTGTGAGATTTTAAGAGATATTGGGCCCCTTCTCTGTGCTCAACCCTTCTAAAAGGAACAGTTCCTCCTGGGGGGGAGGAGTGGTCAGGAGTGGTCCGTGGAGTCCTGCTGAGCCTCTTACAACCGCCTGGTCAGTTCTCCATCATCCACCTGAGAGCCCAGTTTAGAAGGCCACATGGCCAGCTGAGGCTGAGAGATGAGGAATGGTGGCTTGTTGGCTAGGGCCAGCTACTATGATGCACACAAACATTTGTTGGGATTTTTCCAAGTGCTGGCTGATTATTAACAACGAGGGGAAAAAACTTTCCTTCTTTTGGACTAGAAAGAGAAGGTTGCCAGCTACAGTCCTGTTTATCTGAGGTTGGGTCTCTTTCATTCTAATCCTGGGCTTTTAGGGCTCCCTCGGGCACCGGGGAAGACTTGGCAGTGATGGCGGGGACGGGTGTGATCCTATCCCTTGTAATCCAGCTCTGGATTCCAAAGTTACATCTTTGTCTCCCACGTGCCTTGAGAATGTGCTAGGGGCAGGCTGAAGGAAAACGGGGGAGAGTGTGGTGGGCACAAAGCTGTTACATAACATTCCAAAATACACTTCTACACAGCTGTGACCCACAAAAATGCTCACAACCACAAAATGAAGGCAAAAGCCACACCAGACTTTACCGTTTAAATATCTTGTATTACAATATGGAGTCAAACTTACAAAAGTTTTAGCTTCTTTTTACAAATATAAATTGCATTTGCAACAAACACAAATCACATGTAAAACTATTAGACAGGCCCATCTTAGCATAAGAAACTCTAAGAACATACGAAATCCACTCGTAATTTGTTTAAGGAAGCGAGTAGGACTCTATTTGGTATGGCTCAGATATTGTGGTATGTATTTTACCTATTACTTTATTCAATCTTCAGTCCTTATAATAACCCCAGGAGGTGGATTGTATAACCACCACCCTCATTTTAAGGATTAAGAGACTGAGGCTTAGAGAGATGGAATAAGGTTGTACGATGGTGAGGACCACAGTGAGTGCTGCCTTGGGAAGCTGAGGTCAGCTTCTCCACCCCTGTGCTCACCCTCACACTTCCTGATGTACCTGCACGTGGTATTGTACTTTTACCTTTTCCGGAAAGCATGCGTTGTTGCATATGGGGTCAGAGGGGCAAATATTGGGGGAAAAAAACCCCAACAATCCTCTAAGTTGGTATAGATCAAAGCTTTAGTATGGATCAAAGCTTTAGTATAGATCAAAGCACTTTCCCTTTATCTTCTTTGATCACCTCAATAATCCTGTGAGATAGACAGGAGCCACTAACATAATAGTCACTGTGGCTCTTGCAACAATGAGGTACAAAGTGTTATCAGGTAAGCTGGCATTATCATTATATTCTCCTTTAAAAGGTGGCAGGTCACCTAGTGTAATGCTTCCCAGTTATAGATGAGGACATGAAGGCAGACAGAGGTTTAGTGAGTTGGGTCTAAACTCACCCAGCTCCTTGGTGGCCAGGTAAGGCCTTAAATCCTGGTCATGTCTAGGTCTTCATCTCTGCTTTCCCCAGCACTCAGGAGAGTCTTGTGACAGAAATGAAAGAGTCCCCAATTCCCACCAAACACTTCAGTCCAAACAGTCCCAGTCCACGGTTAGAAAAGATTTTGTTTTGCAAGATCATTCATGAAACCATCCTACTAGCTCCTGGTTTCTTTCTTCAAATACCAGAGGAAGTCTCTCAAATCTACAGAATACCTTGATACCTTGATATATACAGTTTGTTCTTCCTTTTTTCTTAAATTGTGAGATCGAGCATACATATAGGAGAGTGCAAAAACATTTACATAACAGTTTAAAGATTAATTATAAAGGCTGATTACTAATTCTGTTTAAGAAATAGAACATTATTAGCATCCCCAAAACCCATGCCCCACCAGTCACAATCTCCATTCTCCTCACTAGAGGCAACAACTATTCTGCTTCTGTGATAATTATTTTCTTGCCTTTCTTCATAGTTTTACCTACTATGTGTACCCCTAAATAATAGTTTCATTTTGCCTGTTTTGGGGTATTATAAACAGAGACACATCATACGCTGTGTGTTAGTGTGTTTTTAAACGTGTTTTTCTTATTTCACCCTTCAGAAAACCCTGAGCCAGAAGTCATGACAGCCAAACCCAAGCTCTACTACTTTCGTGGTAGGGGCAGGATGGAGTCGATCCGCTGGTTGCTGGCTGCAGCTGGAGTGGAGGTTGGTTCTGGACTGGGAAGATGAAGGAGGGTAATTTGGGTGAGACCGAAGTGGTGGTCCTCTTCCTTCTTCAAAATTCAAGATGATGCCTTCAAGCGGTACCCACTCTTTCTCTTTCCATGTCTTTCTTCCTAAGAGGTGAAGGAGGGATCATAGTCTTCTGTTTAAGGAGGGGTGGGAGGATGGATGCCTGGGAAGGTGCTCTGGAAGTTTACAGGGCCTGGAAAGATCTCAGTGGGTCATAAGACCAAGGAGAGAGACAAGACCCATATCTGAATCATTCTCTCCATTGAGACCAGCTGATTTCCTGGGATCTTTTCAACTCTACCTTAGCACTTCAGTCATGCTCTCTCCATGACTGCCAACCTGATCCCTAGGCCTGACTGCAGCCTGGTCTCCCCTGGAATCCTCCTCTGAAGGGTCAGCCTCACGGAGAAAGATCCTTAACTCTGAATTGCCTCCCCACTGACTTTTCCATAGACTTTCCACAAGTGGAATTGTTCGGTTTAATGCAGGGGTAGACTTCCATGTCCCTATTTGAATGCCATCTCCTCTAGAACAAGGACTCATGACCTTCTTTGTTTTCCTCTTTTCCCCTTAGGGATTTCTCTCTGAACACTGATCACCTTATCCTACCCCCACCTCAAGGTTTGGGGGACAAAAAGTCACTCTTACTCACAAAAGCTTCTAAAGAAAGTTTCTAAAGAAACTTCATCAATAAATGATGATAAACCCACCTGAGTAATGGTCTTTGGATCCTTTCCATTGGCTATATGAGCATCAAAGAGAAATTTATTTTGACCTGATATGGAGGGAGAATGACACAGAAGAGAGAGGAGAAAGAAAAGAGGAAATGGAAGAGGAAAAATCATTGGGGAAGTTGGAGAAGACGACAAGAATTTGGAAAAAAGGAAGAGCTAAGGCCAAAAAAAAAATAAAAATAAAAAAATAAATGGGGGCTGTAGGCTATGCTTTAAGTAGGCTCAAAACAAAAAAGGGTGTCAGTCCCACATCAGTCTAAGCTAATGCACACATACCCTCTGTCAGAATTTCAGCTATGTGGTAGTTGATAGCTTTGTGGTTCCTTTTGAAATTTNAAAAAAAAAGTTTTAATTTTTCCCTAAAGTTTGCAATATATTTACAACTAAGCTAAGATCACTTTCAAATAACACTATACCACTTCATAGGTAGGAGAGGTACTTATAACACAGTATTCCCAGTTCCTTGTATCCTGACAACATTGCTGTCATAGATTTCACTTATCCATAAGCTATAATCACCTGATATATTGTTGCTATTATTCTTTTGAACCACATTGCGTTTATTTGTTTATATATTTAAACTACCTGTCCTCCCCAAGAAGAATGTAAGCACCACAGGTGCAGGAATTGGGTCTGTCATGCCCACTATTGTAAAGCCAAGGCCTTAAACATTGACTCGTAAAGTGGTAAATATTTGTTAAATTAGCCAATGAACTCTTCTTCCTTGCGTAACTTGATATGCTACAAAATACACAAGAAATAGATGAAAAGTGAAGCCCCAGGGGAGCGTACAAACTGGAATGCTCATTGGCCAATCCCTTCAGTGGGTGGAGTTTCAATTGGAAAGAAGAGGGCTACACACCCTGGCTTCATCCCCACACATCACAGGAGACAAGAGCGAGGAAGAGATAAGGTTAGTGGTGAAGTTCTTATACACTTTTCTTGGGCTTGGTTGGATAGTTATATTTTGTGGCCAAATTTTCAGTTTATACTCAGCAATTGTTTTAACTTTGTGGTAAATGTAATGTCTATATTTCTAAATTTGCCTCTATCAAACAAAAGAAAGATATTTTTTTTTTTCTGCAGAGTACATACGTAAATGAAATCGAGATAGTAAGTGTACATCCACACAAGGCCTTTTGAAGACTTTCACTGCTTATGCATGCTCTACATAATATTAGACATTAACACCTCCCACACGCATAGCATACATTAAATGTCATTTCAAACATAAGTATGTGAGAGTCAAATGGTATTTCAGTTGATTGGTGGATATAACCATGCTTAGTAGAATTTAAACATTTATTAATTTTTGAGCTACTGCCACGTCCCACGCAGCACAGGCAGTGATGAGTGAGAGGACACGGCACAGGGTGAAAGAAATACAAGAGACAAAGATAGATTTATGACACATGGCCAGGGGGCTGCAGTTCTCTCTCTGGAACTGAGCACCTAATTGAGCCAACGTGAAGCTTTTATTAAGAAACTTCAAAGGAGTAAAACTGTTTTATTTTTTCTAAAGTCTGTGTGATAAGTGCCTTAAGGCCAGTTTCCACTAATCAGACCCATTGTGCTCCAACACCTGCTGTGCCTTTGTATTCCTCCACACACAACCCCCAGGACAACGGTGCAGTTGCAGCTGCGGCCATGAACTAAGGGAGATAACCGACATCATTCCGCCGGGTCCCAGTTTTCCAGGACACTCCCTTGTGAACTTGTTAGGTCAGGGGCTGGTGGTGTTTGTGCGTAGGGGGGCGGTTGAGGATGAGGCTATAAGGCAACAAGCCATGACATTTTCCTTCAGCAAATCTCATATTTTCGTACACGGTTGAAAAGAACACAGGCAGGGGTGACCAGTTAGCTCAGCTGGTTAGAGCATGGTGCTGACAATACCAGGGTTGTCAGTTCAATCCCCGCATGCGCCACTGTGAGCTGCGCCTTCCCTAAAAAAGAGTCAACTATGCCATTGAACTATGCCATTGTAGCATGAAAACAATGTGTAACCAATGACCATGGCTGGTCCCCCATAAAAAATAAAAATTAAAAAAAAGAACACAGACACCACCCACACTGTGACATGGTGCTAATGGGTAAACTGAGTCTCCTGCATCTATGTGTCTATACCACTATGCTTGGAAGATTAAATCCAAATGACCCGACACTACAGTCTTCCTCTGGGATCCTGCATCTCTGGAGAACTGTGCCCCATTGAAAAGCAGGAGTCTCTAAGTCAAGCACAATTTTTTTCTAGGACTTGCTCCAATCTTTAACTAGCATCAGGCCATAGAGTAGCTCACTTTGCTTATTCTTTAAACTGCCTCAATGGCNCCAGAGGGCCCCGGTTCGGATCCCACATATGAGGGTCTGTTCCCCTTCCCCCAATTCCCCAGCACTGTTCCCATCCCCCCCCATTCCCCAATAAAAATCTTAAAAAAAAAAAAAAAAAGAAAGGCCCAAGCTCAACTGTTCAGAAAACGGAATGTAGAACACAGAAACAAGCAAAGTCCATATCAAGAGGCTTTCCACCCCAACTTTTTCATAGCTCATCTTTTTTCTTTTTTCTTTTTTTTAAATTTTATTGGGGAACAGTGTGTTTTTCCAGGACCCATCAGTTCCAAGTCAAGTAGTTGTTTCAATCTACAATAGCTGTGGAGGGCACACCCGAGTGGACCATGTGGGAATTGAACCGACAAACCTGGTGCCATGAGCACTGTACCCTACACTCTAACCACCTGAGCCAACCGGCCATCCCCTCCATAGTTGATCTTTAAAACTGACAGTCATTCTAACCTGCAATCTCAAGAGTATATGGCAAGAGAAGCAATTTCAAACACAGTGTATGAATTGAATCCTTTTATAACAATATAAACAAGTACTAATATGCAAAACAGTCTGTTTCTCATTGTTTTGATGCATATTTTAATTGTGTGTGGGATTTTTTGTTTGTGTGTGTGTTTTTTTTAAATACCCAGGGCTTTTTTCCAAGATGTGTGTCCTAAGCTATAGAGCATTGTTAATTTCTCTTTTTTTTCTCCAGGTTACACATAAACTGTAATAGATTAAAGCAAACAGGCTAGATGGCAACCTTGAAGAAAAGGATTTGGAATTCAGATAGGACAATGAAAGTTAATTATTCTTTTATGTATGTTAAAAAGAAAGACAAAGATCAAGAAAATCATTAAATTTGTTGGGCAATTGGCACATAGAGGGGGTACAGAGTCACACAACCCTTAATGAGTTTGCAAGCTAGTGTAGCGATAACTAACACAGTATGACTGCACCAACAAGCCAATAAATAATAGTAACATATCTTAATAACCATTTTTAAAAAAGTGTTTGTCAATGAAAGGAAATTTTTAAAGAGAATGAAATAGAGCTATTTGTTTGACCTAAGGAAGTAAACTTTTCTTTGTCAGTTGCCAGGTCCATAGAAGACCTGCTAAATTATGTATCTTCCAAGTGAAAAGGTCTTGGTACTAATAGCTTTGTACTTTTGGTAAACTTCATTCAGTTTGTTTTTAAGCCCATAACTATCTAATTATTTGTTTATGGCAGATTTCAACTTAGAGGCACTCATTAATTCTTTCACACACCCAATTGTTCAACAAGCGTTTCCAGAGACCCTACTATACACCATGGTCACTTGGCTGGTTCTGGTTCCAGAAATTATTCCTGAACATGGAAGCTAAGAGAGAGGAAATCAAAAGTCATTTGCCCCAATATCTATTTACGCCATAGAAGTCCCAGATTAGGACACTGCATACTCAAAGCTTCCTCTGGGAATGAGAGTCGCACGGTGTTTTTCAGGATCAACATGTATACTGATGGCACTCAGGACCTCATGATGATCATCATCCAAGCTGTGTTCAAACCTCCACGAGAAAAAGAGGAGAGCTTTGCTTTAGCCGTGACGAAAGCAAAAACCTGTTACTTCCCCGTCTTTGAAAAGGTAGGATGGAGAGATCTAGTTTGGATCTCGGCGAGGCCTCACCCTAGTGTGGTCCGAGGTGGTGTGGCGGTGTGGCAGGCATCCTGATGCTCTTGTGACATAGGGTCTGGGTCCGAGACAGCTGCGTGGTCAGATCTTGGCGTGGGGAAGGCGAGGGAAAAGAGCAGCGGGCAGGGCTGACATCCTCCAATCCCCCCTCTCATCCCAGACAGGAAGTTGGGAGGGAGAGCGCAGGCTCAGTAAGTTCCTAGTTCCCTTTCTAGGATGTAGGGATCCAGAACTTTCACATTTCCTCTTGCTGATAACGACGACACTATTTAATAAAAGCATGACTATCTGAAAAGACAGAAGCCGTGTTAGAGCTTTCCTGCATTTGGACTAAAATTTTAGTAAGGATTCCAATACATGACTTGTCTAATTATGAGACCTCCAACAAAACAGAACTGGAATAAACCAACTGCAATGAAAGGATACAGCAATTCTGTTCTGATTTTTAAAAAAATTATCAGCCCACGGATTCACCATCGCTAATTCACTGTTTCAGATATTTCGTTAAGTTTTTAATACTGTAGACTAATCATGCTTCAATCAAAAGACAAGTCTCTGAAAGTTGCAACTTTTATGAAGTCGTTTTAGAGTGAGTACTAGTTACAAATGTCTTCAGTTTATCTGGTAAGTTTCCAAACTGAGAGGGCAGCATGCCAGGTGATAAGAAAGACTTGATAGCATAGGGTTCCATAAATAAAGGTTTGCAGGACAGAATAATTCTGCAGTATTTCTTCTCAGTCTTTTCTAAAGCTTTGGGAAAGAATGATTTATTATTGACTGAATGATAATGAAGAGTTCTGTGCTCAGAGTACTAGACAAAACAAGTTTCTGTTTATTCAAGGACAATATACAGTGACATTGAACTACCTTCCATTTAAAAAAAAAAGCAGCTAGTATGATTAGTTGAGTTATGGTGTTAACTGTGCTTTATCATACTATAGATTTTGAAATCTGTGTGGCCAAGTCCAGTATACTTCCCAAAACATTTGAAATAATTCATTTTTTCAAATTAGGATCAAACTCAAATTCATTCGTTATAATTAGTCAAGTATATATTTTAAACCCCTTTTTATATCTAAGGTCCCTCTTTGCTCTCGCTTTCTCTCCGTTTTTTTCCTTTTGCATTTGTCTAGTCAAGTATCTCACAGTGTGGATTTTACTACAACATAGTCCTTTATTCCCTAGATTTCCTGTCAATTGGAAGTTAGAATTAGAAGTTTCAGGTTCAGACTTGATGTATTTTGGCCAGACTATTTCATAGGTGGTGTTGTGTAGGTCATTAAGGAGCACTTATTATCTGGTTGTCACTCTTCTTGTGATTAATTGTGATTGGTGATCAATGCCTAGACCCACTGACTTATTAGTGGATGCAAAATTTTGATATGACAATCATGAATAAATCTCTTCATTTATTAGTTGGAATGCTTTTTATAAAATGAATCTTCCCCTCATATTTGGTTACTCTAGGGTATTTTTTTTTCTTTTCTTTTTTTATTTAGGAAAGTAAGATAAATGCTACTTTCTTGGAATTCACCGGGTTTGGGCTTCTGGTATCCCATTGGTATCTTGTTTGCACTTGTGGTATTGTAGCCAGATTCTAGCTAATCATGATCTTTGTGTCTCCCTATATCAGTGGGTACAGTTTTACTTAACCAGCTGCAGTCTCGTAACAGTGCATTCCATTCTAGCACTTCATCATCCAAGATGTCTTGAAAATCACTGACAAATTTCCAAAAAGATTGTGCCAATTTATAGCAATATATGAGTGCTGGTTTCATCCTATCTTTGCCAGCATTCTTGGAGATTACCAAGAAAAAGATTGCTTAGCAAATTTGGTCTGTACAGGAGATCCCATGCTTTGAAAGTGTTTAGCCAGGCAAAATAGTCTTCACGTTTGTTTGATATATTTTGTTATTTTTTCTTTCTGTAGATTTTGAAACAGCATGGAGGTGATTTTCTCGTTGGAAACAAATTCAGTTGGGCAGACATACAACTGTTAGAAGCTATTTTAATGGTCGAAGAAATCGATGCTTCTGTTCTTTCTGACTTCCCTCTGCTAAAGGTAGTGTGTTACCTTCCACACAAAGCCCAGGACAAAATGAATAGAAACAAAGACTGAAATAAAATGTGCTTCCAGGTTAATCTCAAAGAAACTAAAGAAGACTGTTTTAAAAATCATTATTTTATTCATTTTTTAATTGTCTCCTGCTCACACGATAGGATCATTAGGAAATAAAATCTCATGAAGGGACAAAGAATAGATTGTTTTGATTTCTACCATAAACATTTGGTGTTTTTCATCTTTATAGTGCTTTTGATTTTTGTTTTCTTGTTTTTTTTTTTGTTTGTTTTTTTTTTTTAGTAGTTTGAGCTTTTTTTCCAGACGAAGCAAAGCTGGAGTCTGTTTTTGTTGTTTCCCTCCCCAGGTTCTACAGAACAATTCTTCTCCCCTTTATTCCCTGTGATTCCGGGGCCCTCACAGAGTCCCTTGATTTCTCAGAGCTTCTGCTTGGGTGGCACTGTTTGTCTCCTGCTGCATTGCCCTGGGCCTCACATCTTTTTCTCTCTCTGAACCCTGCTACTGCCAAACCTCACCTCGCCTCTGTTCCAGTTCCTTAGGAACAGTTTATCTAACAGGTGACCATAGGTTTTACAGTTTAAGAATAGCATTTTTTTCTTATTACAAAAGAAATGCAAGTTTATGTAGCTACATTAGACATTTGTATAAACTAAAAAAAAAAAAAAGATCTAACCTAGCCAAATGCACATCCTGACTATTATTTTGCATTTCTCTCCCCAAATAGATACATAATATTGTTTTGTGGCCTGCTTTTAACAATTTTTTCAATTATCATAAATATATTTACATGTCAAGAAATATTCTTCTGAAATATCATTTTCTTTTATTTTCATTAGGCAATAGAGTCACACCTTTTTGAAAAATCAGAACTACATATAAAGGACATAAATGATAAAATCTCACTCCCACCTCTCCCCGCCCCCACACCTTCCCATTCTCATAANAAATCTCTATGGGAAGCTGAGGGACAGGAGGTCTCTTCTTCTGTGTCTGCTTCCTGCTGGGCAGGGGTGTAGAGTTGTTCCTGCCTATTGGGGGGTTCACAAAACTCTCACCCTAGTTGATCTCATATGAGAGGAAGGGGTCTCGAGCTCCGCCTGGAAGACCGCGTTGGCTTTTTTGGTTGTGACTGGCAATCTTGTTGGGATATCCTCTGTATCCCCAAGGTCCCTGAATGGGGAGAAATAGATTTTAATTAATAAGTCTGTTAGCTCTCATGAAGCCTGTTGTTATTCAGCCTGTCACTCAGGTGGAGTCAGTTGTCTGGGTCCAGAATGGGTTTGGCATTTAGTTTACTGGCCTGGGGGATATTAGGAAGTCACAGGCTCTCAAGTAGTTATCTGAAGCAGGGGTAGGAGATTTCTATTGTTCAGGATTCATTCAGAAACTGATTTACAAAGCAATCAAGAAGGGGGATAGGAGAATTCTAGGATTCAGGCTAGGAGCAATCTTTAGTTTAGGATTCACAGACTGATGAAAAGAGTAATCAAAGCCAGGGGCTAAGAAACTAAGAAACTAGGGAGGAGACTTAACATTTCTATACTTAACATTTCTATAGGAAAGAAAAGTTAAGTCTTTGGGGTAGGGGGCACTCGGTTGGCTGGTAACAGAGCTGTTGTTAACCACAGTTATCTTACTAATACCTGTAATTTTACTATATGTATAGTTAATAGTGTTGTTCTCAGTGTTTTTTTAAAAAACTTTACATAAATGGTATTCTGCTGTAAAAAAAAAAAAGTTTTAATTTTTCCCTAAAGTTTGCAATATATTTACAACTAAGCTAAGATCACTTTCAAATAACACTATACCACTTCATAGGTAGGAGAGGTACTTATAACACAGTATTCCCAGTTCCTTGTATCCTGACAACATTGCTGTCATAGATTTCACTTATCCATAAGCTATAATCACCTGATATATTGTTGCTATTATTCTTTTGAACCACATTGCGTTTATTTGTTTATATATTTAAACTACCTGTCCTCCCCAAGAAGAATGTAAGCACCACAGGTGCAGGAATTGGGTCTGTCATGCCCACTATTGTAAAGCCAAGGCCTTAAACATTGACTCGTAAAGTGGTAAATATTTGTTAAATTAGCCAATGAACNCCACAGGCTTCATGAGAGCTAGCAGATTTATTAATTAAAATCTATTTCTCGTCCTTCAGGGACCTTGGGGATACAGGGGACACCCTGTCAAGATTGCCAGCTCCAAACTCTTTGGAATGTAATTTCTCTTCTAATAATGGGCCCTTGAGCCATTCTCTACTGCTTGGGCCCACTTCTACTTCTTTGAAATGTTCTATCAATTCGAAGAAACTACTTTTTCAGTACTTTACTCTGGTATCTCGTTCAATTCTTTGCTCGAGTTGCCAAGGATCTGAACTTTGCGCCGAGAAGGGCCCACTTTCCAACAACAGTTTGAATAATGAGGTGAATGTCTTCCAGATGGGGATTTTGGAATTAGTCTTAATATTTGAGAACTCTGATTCATTTTAAAATAAAATAGTATGGATTAATAGGTGAAAAAAAAAATAAAGGAAGACTGATTGCCCTTCTTACAAAGTCCTAAGAACGTACACCACGGTGACTCTAATGCCACTTCCCTTTTCGTGGAAACGAGGGACGCTGGGATCTCTAAGAGCTAATTTGGCTACAACACCAATGTTTTTATGGTTGGTGGAGTCCTTTAAAGTAGGGCCATTCCATTGCGTGGTGCATAGAGCAGCAGGATCAGCATGACCATGGAGCTTGTTAGAATGCAAATTCTTCATCATTATTATTATTTTTTAATTGTAACAAAATACACATAACAGAAAAATTACCATTTTGATCATTTTAAAGTATGTAGTGCAGTGGTATTAGATATATTCACATTGTTGTGCAACCATCCCCACCTTTCATCTCCAGAGCTCTTTTCATCTTCCCAACTGAAACCCTGTACCCATTTAACAACAGCTTCCCATTCTTCTCTCTCCTGGCCCCCGGCAACCACCATTCTACTTTCTGTTTCAACCTGTTTGGCTATTACTGGTACCTCAAATATGTTGAATCATATAGTACTTTTCTTTTTGTGACTGGCTTGTTTCACTTGGCATAATACCCTTAAGGTTCATCTATGCTGTAGTCTGTGTCATGGTTTCCTTCCTTTTTGAGACTGAATAATATTCCATTGTATGTATGAACCACATTTTGTTTGTCCATTCATCTATAGATGAACACTTGAGTTGCTTCTACCTTTTGGCTATTGTAAAGAAGTGCTGCTATGAGCATGGGTGTACCGGTACCCCTCTTTAAGACCCCACTTTCCATTCTCCTGAGTATACGCAGAAAAGTGGAATGCCTGGATAGAACTGCAAATTCTTGGGCCCCACCTGAAAAGACTAACTCAGAATCTCTCCTCTAGGGGGCCCAGGAATTTGTGCTTTTATAGGCTCTCCAGGTGATTCTTTTATATGCTAAAGCTGGAGCAAGCACTGCTCGGGAAGGACTCCCTCAGTGTGATTGGTAGGGGAAGAATAGGTGATAGCTTACCCTCAGGTAAAAACTGAGATTTGCTCCACTGATCTTACAGGTAAGAACTGACTTTCATGCTAGTTTGAATAATGAGGTGGATGTCTTCCAGATGGGGTTTTTAGAATCAGACTTAATACTTGAGGACTCTGATTCATTTTAAAATAANCCTGCTTTCTGTTTGAGATAACCTCACTTGCTTCCAGTGATGCTGGCTTTGGGTCATGCTCTCTTCAAGCCTTCTATCATGGTTTGTATTCTCTGTTGCACTGTAAGAGGCACGGTGAAACACGGCATAGACTTTAACATCAGAAAGACCTGGAGTCTGCATAACCGGGTGACTAAGCAAGTTTTATCTTCCTGAGGCTGTCTCTTTATCTGTAGAATAAAGGTACTAGTACTCTCAAAGCCATGTGGTATCTGGCACAGAAACACATCTGCTTGCCCAACCTTCCTGGCTGCCTTTGGTTATATCTTGATAACTGGATCCTTTGGCAGCCCTGGCAGGCATGGCCCAGTTGTCTTGGGTTCATGCCTTTCTCTAGTATTGTCTCCAGAGAACTGGATGTGAACAGCATTTATAATACAAACCAGTGCTGATCTCACATACCATCTATTACTGTTCTGCCATGAATTCAGTTCCGATTCAGGCAGTTCCTGAGTTGCAAATTTAAAATGAGATCCTTTACTCAAGTTGCTGCGAAGCAAATACATGTTTGTTATTTTTGCAACCGTAGCAACATTTTGTTTGAAAGGAAACAGTGTTTAACTATCACCAATCAATAAGTTTTTATTTTGGTGGTCTACATTGCGTTTTTAACTGAAATATTTGGGGTGCTATGAATTCCATGCATTCCACAAAGAGCATGTATTATTTTCCCCCTTGTATTTCCACCTGCTTTCTTTGTTCCTTTTAATCAATACTTCTGACACCACTGGAGGTCAGCAGAGGCAAGGAGGCACAGTCAAATTCAAATGATTATTGCCTATTGGTAACTCAGTGAGAGGACATTGAATTTTTCTGTAGTATTTTTTTTTCCCAAAAGGGGAGAAAAAAGCTGAACTTGATGTGTACATTTAATCTTTATTTTCACTAGGTTTAGTATATAAGTTGCATGTAAATTTGATAATAGCTGAATAATCAAAAAGTTAAAGGAGTACCAGTTTTATGAAGTATATTGCTTCTGTTGTCCAAGAGAAAGAGGCAAGGCTGCAAGGCAAGGAGAGCATTTATGCAGGGTCTTGAATTACAGTTTGGGAACACAGATTCTGGCAGCAAGCAGAAAAGTGCCCCATCTGGGGATTAGGCACAGAGGCTCTTAAAATGGAAAAAGGAAGGAAAAAAAAAAAAAAGAAAAAGAACATTCAGGTTACATTAGTTGTTTGCCAAGGATTATGATAACAAGATAGTGTCACTGTTGTCATCTTCTTCCACACTTCTAAAGTTTAATTAGATTTTAAAGTCAAATCAGCCGCAAGCCCCAGCATTGGCCACTAATGGTACACATGCAGCTTGGAGGTACAGGTTCCAGATAAGGAAAC